AAGATTTATTGATAATGAAATTTGTTATAATTATAAAAAATTGATTGAGAAATAATTTTTATATATTATTTTTTTTATAATTTTATATGTTAATTAATTAATTTTAAATTTATAATATTAAATATATCTATTCATTTAATAATATGTAAAATTATATTAAAAAATTATCTATATATCATTATCTATAATTATAAAAGATTAATGTTTATTAATCATACTAATAAAAAATTAGATAGAAAAATATTTTTAAATTATATTGTTTTAATAAAATATTATAAAAAAAGACTAAAACTTTATCCATACTCGAAAAATAATTTGGATATTTTAATTTTTTTAATAAAATTTTATTAAAACGACGTGATTTTACTTAGTTTTTTATAATATAAATTAATACTTATTTTTTTATAATTATAATGTCTATTATATTAAAAATAAATTTTTTAATATATGTAATAATGATGGATTATATAAAAAAATAACACTTCATTTTTTTAAAATTTTTATCCACTTAATCCAAAATTCAAATTTGATATCGTTAATTTAAAATTTTAAACTCTTAATCATTGAATTAGCATTTAAGAGTTAAAAAGTATATTATATGATATATAATTAGAAAATTAATTATTTTATTTAAGATTTTATTTATAATATTATATATATTTATTTAATATTATATTATATTTAATTAATATTAGATTATAATTATAAATTTATAATTATATATAATATTATAATTATAAAATTACCAATATTAAAAATTTGGATTAAGGAAAAAATCTTATGACGTGGTTAAAACTTAATTTGTATTCACGTTTATAATTTGGATGAGATGCGTCTGTATATTTTTTTAATGAAAAGGAATGTATAATATTTTATATATATACTTATTTAATTTTATGATATCTTATAATATTTTTATTATTAAAAAATCAAAACTATTTTTATTGTCAAAACTATGGATGGAGAGTTCGTGGTTTTAAAACCCAGAACTTTTCGAACGGACACCCCACATACTGGTGGACACATTTTTATCAAAGAAAATGATTTAAGAATAATATTTTTATATTATTTTTAATATATTATTTAAATAATTTATTTATTTATTAATAACATATAAAAATTATATTAAAAAAATAATACAAAAAATTTATTTTTATATCACCACCCTTTAATGAACTAAACAAGAAAGAATTCTCATATCATTGTTTTTCCTACATTAGAATAATTCAAAAATGTAAAATATTTTGTTTGCAATTTCTCTTTTCTGCAATCTTGTAAAGTTTGAACAACATAATAATCTTTTATTTTTCTTATATAAAATATCTCACTTTTTGGTTGCACTCACAGCATTTTGTAATTATTGGTTCCAAAAGAGATCCAACAAGGATTGTCGTGCCATGAATAATAAAACAAACTAAAAGATGAAAATTGGGAGAATAAAAAAAGGAGTGATTAAGACTGCCACCGACCTCACGCAAAGTTGTCCAAGCAAAGTTGTTTTACTCCACTCTCTTTCTTTAAAATAAAGATTTAACAATTATCTTTGCTTTCAAGCGATGGCAAGTAATTAATGATACGTTGATTTGAAT